TGCAGAGTCATGTGGATTGCCTACTTTGGCCTTTTATTTGACATGAATCTCCTGCCCGCCAGTCGGCATCGAAGGATGATGGAATCATGTCTATGAGGGGAAGAGTCAGTCGAAGCTCCAGAGCCAACAAGTCAACCATGTCTATCTCCCTCGTCCGCCTATCTCAAGAGACTCGGTCGCCTTGCTGCGCCCTCGCCCAGTCGACTCGATGTCTCAACCTGCACAGTTGCACTGACCCCACACGCTAAGGATCAGCGAAAACGATTTGGCTGATCCTCGAGCTCGACTTTGAGGTCGAAACGCGCCGACTAGCCGTGAAGATCTGGTCGGTGCTGGTCGTGGATAGAGAATGAGGCGCTAGTCCAGAACATTCGAGCTAGGCGTTAGCGTCCACGAGTGATGGCCCCATTCATAGAGCGCCCCTGAGTCAAGGAATAGCTCTTCGCCGATAGAGCAGCCACTTCCGGTCGTTCATCCCAACTTGCCCAATCCTGATTGGGGTTGTTCAGGTCCAAGCTCGCTTCGTCCGGCGTGGTGTGCAGGGAGGGGCTGAGCCGGAGTCAAAGCTGCGATGGCATCAACACCACGTTTACTTTTGCTGGATTCAAGTCGGGTCGGAGTCAAATGCAGCCAACTCCAGAAGCGAATAAGGCATTAGACGTGACATGGCTTTTGAGGTAAGCGCAGGAGTCGGCCGTTAAGCTTTCAGGTCACACACAGTCGACTAGGAATGGGGGGGGAGGCCACTTACGCATCCTGAGGTCGCCGAAGGGTGCATGTCTAGTAGACTGGAGGGGAGCACATGTAACAGACCCAGGTAGTGCAATAGATGCCCAACCCAAACCCCATCTGCCTGGACTTGCATATATCATACCACCTCGCCTCTAATCCCCTCTTGTTTGCTTTTCCTGGAGAAGACTTGAACGAAAAACGCCCATTTTTACATCCTTACTTCTTGCGTTGACCGATTCCATCGCCTCCACTACCGCCATGAACATCCTCTTCCTGTGCACCGCGCATAACTCCCTTTCTCAGCGCCTGTACCTGGCGTTATCCAAGACTCATACGATCACCATCGAGTATGCTCTCTCAGATGATGCGATGATCGAGGCGGCCAAATTGGCCAAGCCCAATCTCATCATATGTCCGTTTCTGACATCACGGGTCCCACGGGAAGTCTACGACAACTTTCTCACGCTCATTATCCATCCCGGCCCTCCGGGCGACGCCGGCCCAAGTGCTCTCGACTGGGTAATTATGGGAGATGATGGCTCAGAAGCCGACTCTGAGAACCTGGTACAGACCAATGCTTGGAGCGAGTTTGGACGGCCATACTGGGGTGTCACCGTCCTGCAAGCCGTCGAAGAATTCGATTCCGGACCAGTGTGGGCTTTCGAGCAGTTTCCTCTACAAATCGATTCACCCACCGTCACCAAATCAAGTCTCTACCGTGGCCCCGTTACAAGAGCCGCCCTGACTGCCACCCTCGCCGCTATTGACAGAATCCAGGCAGCTTCTATACAGGCTGCTTCGCCCTACACTCCCCCGCCCTCTCCGGGCAAGAACAAGTTCTTCCCCCACCTTGTCAACCCGTTGCTTCAAGCAGACCCCACCTTCCGCGACGCCTCGGTGACACTACAGAAAGCCTTCCTCGGAGGAGTCACGCGTCATCGGCCACTCCTCAAAGCAGCTCAGCGCGACTTCGATGTCCAGTCACACACGGCTCGGGAAATTTCCCGAAGGATTCGGTCATCGGATTCCCAGCCCGGCTGTCTGACGAAGCTGTTTGGGCCCAGCCTCTACGTATACGGGGGAACCATCGAGGAGAATGAGGAGCTCACGGCTGGAGCGCGTCCTGGAGATATCATTGCCTGCCGTGACGACGCTGTTTGCGTCGCAACATGCGACGAGAAGGGTATTTGGATCTCGCATATTCGACGTCTCAAGCGAAAGACGGACTCGATGCTGTGGCCCAAGGTTCCCGCCGTTTCTGGCCTGGACGAACTCGATGTTCTAGACAGTGACCTCTTCTCCGAAAACCGAGTCTCCCGAGCAACCATTGACTGGTCTCAATCCCCTCACAACACGAAGCAGGACATCTGGGTCGACTTCCAAACCTTTTCAGGTGCCAGGCGGGTGGCATTCCTCTACTTCGACTTTTACAACGGCGCTATGAGCACCGAGCAGTGCTCTCGCATGATTGACGCGCTGGACTTCATCACAGCCAGCCATGTTGTGGAACGACCCCTCAGCGCAGTTGTGCTTATGGGCGGCGACTCGTATTTCAGCAACGGAATCGCCCTCAACGTAATCGAGGCCGCCTCGGATCCCGCTCTCGAATCCTGGCTGAACATCAACCGCATCGATGACGTGGTCCACTATCTCCTGCAAGAGTTCCCATCACGAAACATCCTCACGGTCGCCGGCATCCGTGGCAACTGCGCGGCCGGCGGTGTCGCCCTAGCTGCCGCATGCGACGTCGTTATTTCCGGTTCCGAGGTGGTGCTTAATCCAGCCTACCGTGCCATTGGCCTGCACGGTTCCGAATATCACTCTCTGTCCTACCCCGGACGATGTGGCTCGGCAGGCGCCACGAAGCTGTTACGCGACATGACACCGCTGTCGCCGGCTGACGCGCGAATGATGGGCCTCGTCGACCACACTCTCCCGGGAACTGGGGCTCTCCTCGACACACGTATTCGAAAGCACGTCAAGTCGCTCTTGATCGCTGGTAAGCCGGCCGCGGCGGCCTGGAAGAGCAACGTTGACGTCTCCCCTGCCGGTCTTGCGTGCGCTCGTGCTCAGGAGCTTGGGGAGATGTCCAAAGACTTTTGGAGTGCGAGATCACAGAGATATCATCTCCGCCGAAGAGACTTTGTCCGCAAAGTGAAGGCCGCCAAGACACCCCTGCGTTTCGCGATACACCGCCGACAAGTGGATGAGCTGGACGAGGAAGAGTCGGACGACTTCGATGATGTCGTCATTTTTGAGCGCAAAGCCAGGGCCACTCTCTTGGCCGACAAGCTCAAGGAGTACGTTGAAAACATGACTTCGGCATCCGCCCGCAAGGACACAACTTCAAGCAACGCTGCCGTACACGCGAGAGCGGCGAGTGAGAGCGTCAGCAAACGAGATTTGAGACCTATCTTTTCGTGCTATTACGATGTCACCACCTGATGAGGCAGGCAGTCTTATATCTGGAGCACAGCAGCACGGGGAGCGAGATACACATCGCCTTGAATAGCTATTTTCTTTGTAATCGGGGAAGGATGTCCAGTACGAAGGCACTTTCAGTGCCAGTAATACCAATCTCTTTTTTTTTCATGAAGTTTGTAATTCCATATCCCAGCTTGACAGCTGTTCATTACGTACGGAGATCATCCTGACAACGTCAACCGCGTGATGCAGCACGCCCAGACAGCTATGGCTCCTTGTCAACAACGTTGACCCTCTGCGGACGGGCGGAACGCATCAACTCTCGTTCTCTTTGTCGCTCGAAATGACATGCGAGTCCCCATCGTTCTGTGTCCTGCAAGGTTTGTCCGATCAACCCCTAGCCAAGAGCCATCGTCGAACTAGCGATTTTCTTTCAGCAACGGTCCTGGCCCGCAGACTAGTCAGGGCTCTTTGCCGTTTGGCAACCGCCCCATCAGACCCAAAAGATGAGCTCAGCAACGAGCTCACATCACCCCATTCATCAGCTCATGAACTGCTCGAGCCAATTGTTCCCGTACTGTGCTGGTGTTTCTAGTACCTTTTTCGCCTTGACCTTTCCGGGGAATCCCCGCACGCTCGGCCAGTGACTCGGAGCATGTGGACCAGCATTCGGGACAGTGGGGCCGGACCCCGGTGAAGGACAGGGGTTGATAACAGACGCACAGAAACCCAAGGCTTGACTTTCGTCGCATTAGATGCTCGGCAATCGTAAATCTCCCGTTTTATTTTGGGGTTTGCGGTGTTCTTATTGATCGGAAATCTAAAAATATTGGGACGTGGAAAATTGGAGGACCCACGAGCAGCGTGGCCGCACCGACAATCTAGAGGCTCCGGAGGCTTGCACTAACGGCCCAGGTGTGACGCCGAGCTGGTGAGCCTAGCTCTTCCACAGTTGAGCACGCCAGGGCTTGTGTCTAATCCACCCCCAGCCACTCTCAACGGCTTTACGACGTCATCAGCGAGACGGATCTTCATCGAACACTCTGAGGGCAAGGCAGAATGTACGACACGATCCCTTTGTCTTCGTTTCTGCCTAGGTCGAGAAAGATAAAAGTGATTGAGGCGTGTCATCGAATCAAGAAACCGGATACCAGCATATCTTACAATTTCCTACTGTTTCTTCTCCTCTCTTAGCGAAGTAATTTACAAAAGCCACACACAGTAGCATCAACCTGGATGTCTTCCTGGTGTTCTTCGCATCTAATACCCCCTCCTCCTAAACTCATGATAATCGAAGCAAACCCGACGACAATGTCTACTATGATATCCATGCCTAATGATTTGATGGCTCATTTCAGCCATCAAGGTCGTGGAAGCGCGCTTCAGCCTGCTTCGGTTGTTTCTCCATACCTCTTCTCCAAGCCATGCATGCGACAGCATTGTGGCTCACTCAAAGGATCTTCTGGGGTCTCAGATTTCTTTTCATTAACAAGGGAATAAGACACGAGTTCAACGGTGCAGGCCAATGAAAGCACTTGCATCGAGACAAGATGCAGGAGGCCCTCCAAAGCACGGGCCACTTCACACGTCGCAAGGTCTGCCATCTACCGGCATCTATCAGGTAGGTATTTCCATTGACGGTCAAGCTTCGCGCGGTAAAAGAAAGTTCTAAAAGACAAACGTAAAGAGGTCCAAAATATGAGGGACATTCGCAGAAAGCCCACCAGTATCTTATAACAGCCTAGCTGTCGTCCTGTGAGACGTTTCTGAATCTTCCACCTCTGCTCAACCAAGAACATCAACAACACTCTACTAATCATCAATCCTGCCGATATCCAGTCGAAATGTCCCTTCGTCAGCAAATCACCAGGCCGCTGGTCAACGATGTAACCGACGGCTATCAGCATACTCACACCGTTGTGTTCCTTCATCGCTTCAAGGAGGCAACCACCGACGAGGAGCTAAAGACCAAGGTCCTTTCCGAGAAGTTGACTAAAAATCATAAGACCCTTCGCGAACAATTCCCCAACGTTCGTTTTGTGTTTCCTTTCGGGAAGGCTACTCCTCGCCCGTGGAACAATCTGTCGCCTGAGGACAGAGCCGCTGTCGGCATGACCAAAAGCTCCATGCCATACATCACCCAGATCGTCCTCCAGGAGGCTGAGCATGTCGGTGGTCTGGACCGCGTGATTCTTGGTGGGCAGGGAGAGACTGCCGAGGCAGCTCACGAGGCTATGTCGTCATTCCCCGAGTGCAAGAGTGACAGTGCAGATGACGTTGCTGTTTTCATTCAAGATAAGCTTCACTCGACCTGTACCGATCTCAGCCAGCTGCGCCTAGCGGGCTTTGTTGGTATGCATACCCCCGACGGTGAGATGACCCGCGATGTAAGGAACAAGGCGGTCATGTCCAAGGCAGCTCCAGGGAAGAACAAGATCAACTCCAGTATCGTCACCAACACACCTCATAAGTTCATCAATGGTGGATACACGACGCAGACCATGACGTGGGATGGAAAGCGCATCGACACGTTCGCGGAGTTTCTCGAATCTATCCAAGTGTACCGCGTCCCCGACAGAAGGAAGATGAGCATAGAGACTCTCGTCCCCAAAGATCGCAAGCCTGTTGAGAGGTGGGACCCAAGGGAGAACCTCAGCGATGCACAGAAGTATGCGCTTGAAATCGCGGAGCAGAAGAAGGAGAACGAAAAGTTGAGGGAAAAGATCCTGGTTCGTATTGAAGCCAACAAGGTTGAGCGCAAGATCATTCAGGAAAGGGAGAGAAGGAAACGAGGCACTGCTTCAAATCCTTCAAAACCTCATGATCGATACGCAGATACCGTCAATTCCCTTGGCGAGGAACCAATCCGACCTTTGAACCGACATGCTGGTCAGACTTCAAATCAATTCGCATGTCTAGGTCAGTCACTGGAATCCATTGACATTGAAGAGCCATACACGGATGAATCCTCCGAAGAGTCTTCTAACGTTGATGAATGCGAGCAGATCACCCACGCAGGCAAGCCTAGGGCATCAGTATCTTCGTCAGAAGAGACGGTAACTCCGACCCCTAGCAGCAAGGGTCGCTCCAAGGGTCGCTTGGTGTCTGGCAAAGCCGAGGTCAAAAGAGCTCGGCAATCTAGAAAGGCTGGACAAGGGATCAATTGGCAGCGACGTAGGCACGGAGAACTGACAGCTGGTCAGATGGCGGCTTTCGGTTTGTCGGACACAGAGGATATCGCTGAAGATACCGATGCTTAAAACTTCACCGATACCATGATGGATTAAAAGTATTGGGGCAACAACGGTTGACTGTTTTTCTAGCCAAAGTCCATTTAGATATGCCTCGCTATCTAGAGCGAAGTGGATAAGCAGAAATCATCAATGCAATCCTTATAACTCATCCTGCTTATCCTTAGATTGCCCTCAGATGGTGGAACAGCCCATTGCTTGAGTGCCTTGACTCAGCATCCCGGAAGTCCTGTCACAGTATCCTGCAACGTCCACTTTCCTGTGCAAGTGGTTGTTACGTTGCTCGACGTGAGAAGGTCAATATCCTCGAACTTGATGTTGCCACATTTATGTCTGGCACTGCACGAAAGACTGACGCGATTTGTAGAACCTGATAACGTGCCCGTGAAGTTGAGAAAGTCGACGTCTGAAACCTCCATATTGCTCGTTCCGGCAAAGGAGCCATTATTCCCGTTGTTTTGATTGATCGAGGGAGCGTTGTTGACATTTTCATAGTAGACGTTGGCGAACGTGATGTTTCGAACGCGGCCCCAGCCACCTCCTCGTGGCTTGCCGGCACTTTCGTAGTGATCTTGAGGTGCAAGCTCTCCAATCCATGTCTTGATGTAGACCCCAATGCGTAAATCAATTGATGACCTCTTCAACTGCTTGACCGTTAGTCACTGATAAGATCAGCATCTGTCCACGATTACCTGTAAGTTATTCATCATCACGTTCTCCACGCTTGAGTCCTCGAGATACTGCCCAAGACTCCCGATAGCAATGCCATTACCACCATGGCAAGTAACGTCTTCCAGATATATGTCGTACGATCGAGGCTTGATAGCGACGCAATCATCTCCGCCCGAGTACTCGAATCCCTTGACACTAATGTTGCGCGCATCCATGGTATCTGAAGACTCCATATTAGTCTTTTAAGTCCTTCGTGAGGAATCCTCTGGATAACGCACCAAAACCGTCAGTATTTTGGACCCAATTGTATCTCCCAGGAGCCTTAGTCGCTGTGGCATTGCTACTAATATTCTGGAAAACCATGTCTGTCCCATTGATGATGTTGTAAGCCCAGAACTGAGGCTGTTTAATGTGGAAGTTCCGAACAGACACATCGCTGACGTTCCAGAACACGAAAGGCTGATTTCCCGTGAGTGGAAAGAATAGAAAAAGTAGTAAGAAGGATTCGAGGCTTTCAATCTTACCATAGGACGTCCTTCGACCGTTTCGCCTGCTTCGGAAGTGTACCACGTATCACCATTCCCATGAATGCCTCCAGTTCCATGACCATCAATGTGGATACCATCTCCCGTTAGGATGAATGCGGCGCGATGGTTTTGAAACTCGATGAAGTAGGAGTTCGACCTCCAGTAGGTGATGTTGTCGGAGAACTACGCAGCATCAGTGAAAGGTGTAGCGTTCAGCATAGATGTGTGCCTACCGTCCATTCTCCTCTCCATTGGATCTGCACATCCTTCACGTGTGGGTTCAGCTTCTGATCAATCCAATAGTTCTGCTTCTCAGGAAATATGATGCTCCCTGAATTTCCGCATCGATCAAAGGCGTTCAGGACATTGTCGACATCACTCTGCTTGTTTCCTTTGGCTGTGACTGTGCACTGGGGTCGACCGTGGACGATAGCTACCTCCACACCACCGCCGCTCGCCAGAGCACCGAATACTAAACCAGCCAGCAATACAAAAGAGACTCTCATTGTGGAATCTAGTTTTGGATATTTGATCCCAATGTGGAAGTTTTCGGCAAGATTGAACACGTCTTTTATGTATTAGACACACGGTCGAAATCTGGTCCTCGCTCAAGTCTTGCACATGCGCTGCATAACAACAGCGGAGAATCTCGGCCGGCCAAGGAAATGTGTGAGATATCCGCCTAGCGACCTAGCTGTCCATTCTATTCACGATCGTCCGGCATTATTATCCTTCGCTGCGACTGATTTCTTTCCGAAGCTATGATGACTTTCAAAGTTGGCTCTAGTCAAGGGTAGTACTGTCGTCTACCGTTCTCACGAGATGGTGCATCTCGGCAATGGCCAGCTTAGAAGGACTGCGTGAGAATGAAAGGTGTTCCCGGCATGAATCAATCGGAATGTTCGTCTACAAGCCCCTCGGGGTGCGATGAAACCCATGGAAATGAAATCGCACCAATCGATCTAGGTTTTCAGCAAGCTCCCATACCAACAATACTATCCCATTTTGGCAAATAGCTACCCCGTTCCCGCCAGGAACACTCCGTCAGCAAAGTAAGATCCCCGCATGGTCCCGGAAAGCTGACCTTTGCTCGGGCGGGATTGACCGACCCGCACGTTCCACGATTCGGGGTATCTCTTGACGAAGATCGTTCACACCACCATGTCAGAGTAGTGCTCTCATCATAAATGTATTCCACTACCACTGTCCAAGTCGCAAACGTCACCTTCTTCACCTTCCTCATTTTATTTCCAACACCTATTCGGAATGCCTCGGCAGATCATTGCTATTTCACGGAAACCTCGACGGAATCAGTACCAGTCGCCGGTGGATACCGTTACTGGACGCTTGATACTTCCACAATAGTTGCTACCTTTCTGTGCTATATCCCGTTACTCTTAGGTTGTTTCTCCCCGAGCCTGATGTCTGCGTATGTAGACACTATTTGGAGGCAGATCCCTTGCGGTGATCCATCCAACATCCTTATCCTATTGTGTGGCTCCGATTCAAGTATCACGTGCCAACGAGTGACAACATCAGACGACCGGGACTCCCGGACAAGCAGAGCAACATTACTTCATACCAGAGGCACTTGGGAAGGCCCGTTCACCAACAGATGCCGCCATCAGCCCCGCGGGGTCGTAACGCTGACACAAAGGAGGCTCAAGCCGTAAGGACACGGGCCTGAGGTGATGAAATCTCTTCCCAATGACCAAGTCGCCATGAAAACGGAAGCCTTCCGTCAAGCTTAAATTTATTCAACGTATTCGCTCGCCAATGAACTGCTTCGGGATGGCCAACAGGCACGAAATCGACGTTGATGGCGACCTCGTCCTTACGCTCAGCAGAATGAGACTGGCCGATGCGGATGCAGAAGCTGAAGATGAAGATGAAACCCTGCAAAACGACGAGTTGCGAGTTTCTTCAAAAGTGCTCCAGCTTAATTCGCCTGTCTTTAAAGCCATGCTGGGAGGGAAATTCAAAGAAGGGACCGAACTCGCCGAAAGGACCGGACCAGAGCCGTACGACTTGGAGCTCCCAGACGACGATGTAGAAGCCATGTCGATACTGTGCCAGATTCTTCACAACGTCTACGTCCCAGAGATTCCGAAGCCCATGTCATTAGAGAAATTGGCATATATCTGCGACAAGTACGAATGCATCAACGCCCTCAAGTACTGCGGCATCGTATGGATCAGGGATTGGCTCCATCAGTTTGATGACGAGGTTCCCCCGATGAGCGATTTTTGCCATCTGTTGGTTTTCGCCTATGTGATAGACCTTCCAGTTGAGTTTTCGGAAATTTCATGGCGGATATTCCTATACCATGAAGGTCCCTTCTCGACGGCATCAGAGCAGGTGAAGATGCTCGTGGACCATCCTTTGCTTCACACCGACATCATCAGTAGGTACACCCCCCATCCTAGACCTAATTATGATGGTTAACCGCAAGCCAGAGTGCCTCGAGATCAAAAGACATGAGTCCTGCAATTCGTTCTACAAAGGCGTCATCTGCCCAATGATGTGGGATTGGGACACGTCAGACGCAGCCTGTTCCAGGGCGTCGAAGGCTCTTGGCTACTACGTAGAGACCCTCCACAAGTCCGACTTGCTTCCCAGGGACATTGACTTTTCAAAACACAAGTTCTGCAACCTCCTGGATACGGCAGTGAGCATACAGAAGATCTCAATGAAGGATTTCCCTTGCATGAGAGAAGTAGGTGTGTGCCAGTGTCGGTCGAACCGATACATCAATCGCAATCTGGCAAGTGAGGTGGAAAAAGAGGCGAGAAAAATCATCCAACAGAGGCGAGTGTTTAATTGCCTCGACTGCTTGAAATCAGACGGCGTGTCTGGGAAAGAGGAAACGTGCAGAGTACCTCATTCATAGTTCAGAGGCGTCAGGGTGTTTAGACACGGGCGGGTGTGGCACCGAAGCCTTGCACAGGGGATGTGTGAGGTAAAGTTGATGTATGACCTACAAATGCATCGCTTTTGAATTCTACGATCTATAAACCCGCTGTCGTACAAGTTCATTATAAACATGACACGCTTGACGTCGTGAAACTAACAGATGTGCGAGAACCAAAGATCGTAGTGGTGCCCCATCTCGCATCGATCCAGAAAACCAAACGCCCTATCTATGCATCGATCCGTATGTGCAGCGCTGAAAATACGCTCTCTTTCTCATCTAAGGGTTGTTGGCTTCGTTGATGCTGTGCTCGTACTCGGTCAACTTGAGAGCCTCTTGCACATCCGTAACGAAATGAGACTCGCCGCCGACGAGGTCGATGATGCCAGACTGGCGCATGAGCCGCCAGATGTGATGGCGTGGGTTAGTAGGTCCACGGCTGAAAAACACTCTAACGCCGCGCTCTCTATAGCTTCGCACAATCTCCTCAAGCACCTGGGTGCCCGAACCATCTAGGGATGTAACACCGTGGATATCGAAGATGACGTTCTTGTTGTGATGCTCGCCACGCAACCTTGGAAGCGCGGGATGAGCCATGCTCGTGCCGTACAGCTCCAAACGTCGGAGACGTGCCTTGAGCTCGCCCGTGTTGGCAAAAGTCAAAGGCTCGGGAATTTTGACAATGAGGCAGCCCTCGACAAACTCTAGTCTATCAGGGTTCAACTCGGCGTTCTCGAAACGATGCGTACCAGGGATGCGGCCAAGAATCTGGATGCGCGGGCGAGTCGAGTGCTTGATGACCTGGAGCAAAGACAAGCCGACGCCGATAGCCATACCCAGAGTGAGGGAGTAGAAAATTGTAGATACGAAGATGATGGTCATCAGACCCAGCTCGGTCCAACCGCGAATGCGCAGGAAAAAGGCGATATCGTGGGGTGCTTCCTCGAGCAATGAGTAGGCAACAACAGAAATCATAGATGACAGGACCGGTTTCTGCCAGGATTAGTTTGGGTTGTCTTCCTGCGATGGTGTACGGGTGTTAACTTACGGGTAGATAGTAGAAGTAAGGCAACAAGAACATGATGGCTGCTAGACTGATGGCGCTGAGGAAGATCGAACTCATAGGTGTCTTGCCGCCAGTCTGCTTGTTCAACTTGCTTCTGCCGTAACCACCAAAGGCAGACAAACTCATGAAACAAGCCCCAACCACGTTGGCAGCACCCAACGCTACAAGCTCTCGGTTGGGGCTGAGCTGGATGCCGTGCAAGCTGTCGGAACTGCTCAGACTCTTCGCCGCGACGGAAGATTCGAAGAAGCCCAGCAGAGCAATCAAGAATGAAGTGCCCATGGCCTCGCGAATGTGTTCCATATGCGATGTTTGGAAGGGCCAGCGGAAGGTGAAGACATGACCGGACGCAGCCTTAACGGGTCCGAGAATCTCAACTCCCTTGCTCGCCCAATCGAAACGCCAGGACAGGATGGCTGCAACAACGACGACAAAGAATCGATCCGGGATGTAAGCGACCCCGGGATACTTGGGCGTCATGTGTTTCTTGAGCTCACGCATTACCATCATGATCACAAAACTGACTCCGGCCACGATGAAAGTAAGCTTGTGAACATGGTCGAAGGAGGTGAAGATGAACTCCAGTTTATCCATGCTGCTACCATGGCCAACACCAGTTTCCGCCGCGTACTTCGCGAGACCGAGCTCAGGGATGGCCTGATCGACCGCAATAACGAAGCCAATAGCAGAGATGAAGCCGCGCAAGAACGGGCGACTGAGCACGCTGTCGAGGAAACCAAGACGCGCGATACCAGCCAGCAAGACGGTGGCTCCAGCCATGCCTGCAACCACACCGCAAATTTTCGCCTGTAGTTCGGCGTTGTATTCTTCGTCCTTGTCGTGGTCGATGCTGCCTCGGACCACAGAACCGACCAACAAAGACCCGGCGGCTTCAGGTCCGACGACCATCTGCGGCGCACTTCCAAAGATGGCATAGATGAAGGGATTGAAAACAAACGCATACAGGCCGTTGATAGGCGGGACGTGAGCAAGGTTGTCGGCGAGGGAGAGGGCCATCGGCAGGTACAGAGAGGCAAGCGTCAGCGCTGCGACGAGATCTCCCTTCAAGTAGGACCATTGGTATTGAGGCAGCCAGGTAAGGAGCGGGATGTAGTACGAGAGGTACCTGGAAGCAATCATGGTTAGTTTGGTCCTGTAGGAGAGGCATGCTGGGCGGCGACTTACATCCACACGGTATCCTTGAATCCCGCTTGTTCTGCCAGCGTCCTGGACGAGGTCATCTTCTTGCTTTTCAACTTTCTGATGAAGCGCTTCCTCCAGTGGTCGTCGCCGGTAATGGTCGTAAGCACCGAATCGAGGATGGGGATCGAGGAGGCAGAGGAGGACGGTCGGTCCATGTCAGCGCTGCGGGCGCTGCCCGTAGGACTAATAGGCCTGGGCGAAAAAGTGCCATGAGTGTAGCTAGTCGGCGCGGAGTTATCGATGAGGACATTTTGCAGGAGGCTCGTGGATTCGCTTGGAGGGAAAGTGTTTGGTCGACCGAGGCTGGAACCGGCGCGCGGGGTATCTCGACCGCTATCGTTCTCGTTGGGGAGCGGTGTCGCCAGAGGAGTCGCGTCCTCGCGAGTGCTCATGTACTCAGACTCGCCGCCGATAGAGCCAGGCGACTGGACAGGCGGTGAACCCATGGTGTAGCTCTGGCGCAGGCCGCTCGGGTTCATGGGGAGGTGCTGCTGTGAAGAAGGACTGCGGTTTGGTTGTGGCCGGCCGCCTGACATTTTCGCTTCGTAACCGAGAGAGCAGCACAGAAAAAAGAAAAGACGTGGTTACGGGAATGCGGCGGGAGACATGCGAAATGACGACAGTCGAATTGGCGGGGCGACGAGGCTGACTGTAGAGGCTAGATGGATTCGGAGATTATGTTTCTGTCGTCGTCAACAACCTACAAAGACCTCGCAGGTGTGTGTTCCCGGGAGGTTGCAGTCGCAGCAAACGTCTCAGGGTCCAACGTCTGCACGAGGTGACGAAGGATGGGTGGTCGGGCGGCGGGTAGAGACGGAAGGAAGAAGACACCACAGACGGGAGACGTGACGGAAAAGACGGTGATACAGACGGTCGACGGATGGCTTGTATCAGTTCGGTGGTGGGATGCCAGGCCAGACCATGGTAAGAGGATTTGTCACAGCGCTGGCTGACTCGTCCCTTGTTCAGGCGATGGCGACAGAGATCAAATCTCTTGGGGCATGGATTGGCGAGTTGGGATCTTGTCCGAACCGAGGAAGCGACGGCCAAGGGACCTTGCAGCCCAGAGCGAGGTAAAGATGTGCTGCTGGGCTTTCGGCCTCGACTGCGCGATTGCGACTGCGGCTGCGGGGGGTGAAGAGCGGTCGGCGGGCGAAGGTGCGTTTGTTTTTTTTTTGTTTTTTTCCCTGCAAGGATTAAGCATTCCGCAGTCGCTGAGCAAAGACCAAGCAAACCGGGGAGTGACATCAATGCGTCGGGCCTAAAATTATGTGTCAGCGGAACTCGATTCGACGATATGGTATGCAGCGTGTTACGTACTGATTGCCATGTTCCCTCCAAGGTTCCTTCCTGGGTTAGGTTGGCTCCGCAGTGTTTGGACCGGCCGGGGTATCGGCAAAATCCATCCGCGCCGAACACGAGCGCTAGGCCCAAAGAAGCACACCGCCTTCGAATTGTGTTAGATAATGCACCCTGCTGCCTCTCACAGCTGCAATGCAGAAAACACGGTGGAGCCACCAGTCTACCCCGCTCCCCGGCCCCTCTCCGACCCTTTTCTTCAAATCCATCGGCCCAGCGCCGGTCTGTCGCCGCACTTACCCACGGGAAACTCTCAGCCCCCCTCCCGGCCACCTCATGCCGATCATAGAGGGGTTCAGAGCGCTGCACCACCGATCTCGAGTGCTCTCCGGTCGTCTAGATAACGAAGGAGGAGCCGACGTACTTCAGCTTTTGTCTGGGAAGACTTGTTCATTCCTTAGGTAATCCTTCGGTGGTGGGTAGGCCCCGCAGCGGGCATAAGGTCTGAACATGACAAGACATCCAATCAACCAACCAACCAACCACAACTCCTCAGCTACATCTCATGATGAACGCCACGGTGGCTTCTACAATGCTGTCCAAATATGTCACTGTCAGGTCCGTCAGGCGATTCCTTGCCTGCTCGTGCAACCACAAAATGCCCAGCCATCCTCTGTGAGATTCAGCTTAAGCCTGCCATCGCTCCGTCTGGTGTTATTTACCAACCCCCGCATTGAGACAGCATGTCATCCCAAGCACTGCGTGGCGCCCATCGCTTGACAAAGACCAAGCATGTCTTTGGTCACCACACTATCCCCCTCGAGTGCGACGTCTACTCGGCCGAGGACTACCCCGCTACCTCACCCGTCTTCCTGTACTTCCATCTAGTCACCGGCTCCAGATCTTGTGTACCACCATGGCTTGCACAGGTGAGTCCTGCATCGTCTCACTGCATGCACCGTCTCATTCTGACAGCAACCCCAGGTCTGCTTCCACAGGCGAAAGCTTCAGGCTTGCTTGAGGATGCTCGAGCAGCATACAAATTCGCGCGACACTTAGCCGCGTCCAGCAATGCTGTCGAACGAAAGGTCATTGCCGGCGGAGGGAGCGCTGGTGAGCAGCACATGGCAGAGACATGTCTGTGACCGTCGGATAGCTGACCGTCGAATAGGGTTCTTCATGGCCTCTCTGACCGCCCACCACTTCACACCGTCCCCCATTGCACTGCTCTCAGTCACCGGTATCACCACCTTCCGCCATCGCTTCTTCGACTCTTCAGTCTTGCTCACGCCAGAGCCCATCGCTGAATCGCAAATGTCGCACCATCTTGCGGCAGCCGTCTCTGTGGGAACCACATCGGCCAACAACCCCCAAGTCTTTCATCTCGACAAGCTCTTGCCTGACGGGACCAAGAACGCCAACTTTGATGTCACCACGGCCCCTATCACAGAAGATGACAACACCGATGAGTTTCCCCGCGGGTGTCTCTACGATTACTACTTGTATAGGAACGAGTTCCCTGGGCTCGTCGGAGATATTGACCCGGGATATGAATGGGCCAAAGCAGCAAGTGCTAAAGACAAGGTCGCAGCTTGGCCACTGACGACCATAATCCAAGGCAACTCAGACGAGGACGTCGATCTCGCCGTCAGTACTCACATGGTTGGATGTCTGGGAGAAGACAAGGCCAAACTGTTTCTCGCCGAAGGCCAGCCGCACCGATACGAAGCCACCAGGTTTCTCGAGGATGACGTCGACGGGATGGACGCAGTAAGGCAAGCCGTCTCGAACCTCGAGGCCGACGTTGCTCGTGTGGCCTAGGCTGATCTTTTGTCGTTCGACACGGGCGAGGCCGAGCCGGATGACACTGCATCTCTACGGCGCAGTCCCGAACAGGAGGGCCGGATAGGTATGTAACCGTCAACAGCAACCCTTTCACCAAGCATCCAAGGCTGCCCATCATTGCGTGTCCCCTAACACAAAACTTGCTGCTTCAATGTTTGCTTTGTCTCTTGTACAACGGCAGTGTGAGAACGTCACATCTCAGTAGCCACCATCACCGGGTGGCCTGGTACAGCAACTCCATATCCCATGTGCACCATAAGAGCAAGCTTGCCGACCAGCCAGAAGAAATCTATGCGAACATGATCCTGACATCGAATCATGAGGGTTGCGTCTAGCCCCCCAGACATTTCACAAGGATGCGCGAGATCCAGGACCTGAAGCCTGGCCCCGCACACAGCCAATCTGAGATTATCGTCAACCTGTCAATCACCACGCTCCACAGGTCCAACGTGATCATGCAATCACAGCGCCATTCTGTCACCGGCAGAACAAGTGGACGCCCGTAGATCCCAAGCCTAACCAACAAGCCTCGCCGTGTGCTGTGATTGGGTGACGTTCAAGTGCCGCATTGATGTCACCCCCGAGCTGGGCGCTTCCGGTGCCAATCCCCGCCCCCTTCGGGGGCCGTTTCTCGTCACATCACATTCCGGCCCCATCACTTAAACTTCAGAAAAGGAGGGGTCCCCGCCGACCCAACGGCATCGCAAGAAAACTTCTTCACCGACATCACAATGTAAGCCCCGTCTCATTCATCAATGTTTGCGGGGGCCGTGGCTTGCATGTGTGCATTTCTGACGAATCACTCGCCTTGGCCCTGTAACCACGGTTCCTGCAGGAGTTGGCACACGCTTGTCAGCTCGGGCGAAGGAGTGCAGACGGCATGGCCATTGGCGAAATTGCCAAACTGACTGAGATGGCATGCACAGTGGTGTGCGCAGTAGTATCGTTCGTGCTTGGTTGTGCCCACTTCACGTCGGGGTTCTCGTCCGCCTGGCGTTTGTCGCGATTAACATATAAGCGACCGCTCCCTTGCGTTATCTACTCTCATGCTATCTATCAAGCTGCTCACCCTTCAGACTCTGGAAGCCTGTACTTACTCAAACTCATAATAAACAATCCATTCGTTACCTACTCAATACCTTCAATATGACAACACATTCGCTCACCAAAGTCTTGCTATGGGTCGTCACCCTTGGTCTTTTCTCTCTGGTCACTCCCACCAGAGTTGACCTCTCGGACATGGTGCCTCGGGCCATTACCCAAGTCGACGGAACTACTTCAAACATCTACGTCAACAGACGACTGAAGTTCACTCGGGGGTCAGAAGGTACCCGCCCAGTCCGGCTGACGAAGCGGTTCCCGTTCTCTGCCGGCAGAGACGAATGGTGCGGTGAACTAGCCCAAGACCCAACAACAGACTTCTCGGCTTCGGCACCACTGGCGGCAGACTGCAAGGCCCTCGCCAACGCTCTGGGAAACGGTTTCTGGACCCTGCAGCCAGGCGACTTTGCAGGCGGTTGGGCTCGTGTCGCCAGCTCTGGAACGTGTAGCTTCGCTGCGAGGTATGCCGACACCGGAAGCGCAGCGAGTCCCATGAGGATTGGGACAAACGACATCCGGTTCTACACCAACCGATACGCGGTGCTGGAGCAAAGCGGGAAGCTGGGGTTGCAGGGAACTGTTCAGTGCAGCAACAATGAGCGGATGCTGTTTGTGACTTGGGGGTTAATTCACAGCTGATCTGGGGGGTTGACTGGGAGTCTTGCAGAAGTTTAGACCAAAGTCCGATGTCAAATGAAAAATATCATCGGAGAGACATTTCCCAACGCAGTCATCATACACTCATTTCCATTCTGATATTTCTCGTACATTATCAACCAGTATATTACACAACCTCATTGACGAACAGGCCAGCCATACCCTGGCCAGTGCCGATGCACATGCTAGTCAGAAGGACTTTCTTCTTTGTCCTGCGGAGCTCGCTCAAACCAGTAACAATTTGTCTCGCGCCAGTGGCGCCGAGAGGGTGGCCCAGGGCGACGGCACCGCCACGGGGGTTCATTTTGGCCCAGTCAAGACCGAGCTTATCACGGCAGTAGACGGCCATGCTGGAGAAGGCCTCGTTGATCTCGACGACGTCAATGTCGGCGAGCGACAGGTTGTGCTGAGCCAACAGCTTGGGAATAGCAACAGACGGGCCGATACCCATGATGCGGGGAGCCAGGCCGGCAACGGTGGAGCCAACGTACTTGGCCAGGATGGGCTGACCGAGCTTGACGGCGGTGGAACGCTTCATCAGAAGCACAGCGGCAGCTTCCCACAAAGTCAGTATGCCAAAATAAATTGAGTTTAGGGCGGTTTTTGGGACGACAGAACTCACCTCCGTCAGTAACCTGGCTAGAGTTGCCTCCCGTGCTCGTGGGACCCCACTGCGGGAAAGCCGCCCGAATCTTACCCAAGCTCTCGGCGGTGGTACCCGGACGGATGCCCTCGTCCCTGGTAAGGATAACCTCCTTTGTCTCTCCGTCAGGTCCAACGACCTTGGTCTTGATAGGCACAATCTCATCGTCAAACAGGCCAGCCTGCTGGGCCTTCTCGGCTCTCTGGAAACTCTCGGCGGCGTACTTGTCCATCTCCTCGCGGGTGATGTTGAAGTCGTGCGAAACGTTTTCCGAGGTCCAGCCCATAGGCTGCATGCAGTCGGCCGCCTCCTGGGACTGGCTGACGACGGCGTCGTCGAAGGGCTTCTCGAGAGCGTCGCCGCCAATGCTCATGCTCTCGGCGCCGAGCGCGATGCCGACCTCAATAGAGCCAGTTGTGATGGCGTTGGCGATATCGGCGGTGGCCTGGAGGCCGGAAGAGCAGAATCGGTTTATGGAGGAAGCACCGGCGGTGTTGGGGAAGCCAGCCGCGAGGGCGGCGGCGCGGAGCTTGTAGGCGGCCTTGCCATCGGAGACCTGGAGAACGGCAGAGTCAGCGGGAGTGTTTCCGAGTCGGAAGGGTTCGGGAAGAACAGGTTGCTACGCACATTTCCCATGCGAATGTCCTCCACCGCTGCAGGCTCAATCTTGGATCGCTCGCGAACCTCCTTCAGGAGGGCGTAGACCATGTACTCGAGGCTCGTGTCCTTGAAGCCACCCTTCTTGGCCTTGGCCAACGGAGTGCGGATAGCTAACGTAATGACGATATCATCGGGGTTCTTGGACTGGCTATGAAGAAGAAGAGTATGTTGTCAGTTTCGGGGTCGGAGACTTTTTGGTCGAGAAGCCGAACGAAGTCCGGATCGCTGTGAGCGACGATCACATGGGAGTAGTGGCACGTACATCTGGTTGATGGCGCTACCTGGAGCCAGGTGCTTCACGATGGAGCCAATTCGCTCGAGGGCCATGGTTGCTGATTACGGGCGGGTAATGCGATTCGAAGACGACGGGCAAGGCGAGTTTGCAGCTTCGGAGACTGAAGGAAAGGAGAGAGACGGAGAGGGCGAGAAATAAGCTCGAGAGTTTCGTTGCTGGTCATGAAAGGAGGGGGCACCGGTAAAGTAGACATGGTTTGCGTCGGGGTTGGCCTTAGCTGCCGGCAATCGCGTCGGGTTCGGGCCTCGTAGGCCTGTCCCAGCCCCCAGACTGCGCAGACCCGCGCGCTCCAGGCCCTTCCAGTGGCTGTGGGGGAGGCAATTGGGCCGAGGCATCTCGGCCAGCGAACCGGCCAGTAGAAATCCAGTGCCCCGAGTAATGGGGATGCCGCGGAGTCTGGGGTGCAATAGCGCGGCAGATGGAATCTGTTAACCAAAGGCGTGGATGCCCTCGCGATGCCTAACAGCAGCTAGCTCGATCTCAATCTGCATCCACTCGAGGACCCCTTGGGGCATTGTGCCGTTCTTCGGTCCATCTGCCGCACCCATTCCCGGTCTTGCCGATTGACAGCTCCTGTCATCACACCGGCAAGACTCATCAGACGAGGCCTTGGGTTGAACAAGAGTCCTTGCCATGTGCATTATTAAAGTCAAATGCCCCGGCTGGTGCTTGCTACCTTGGTCCTCGGTACTAAAGCCTCATCCTCCAAGAAATTGTTTACTCTCACATCGTCGCAGCCATGGTTCCTCCCCACTGTCTGAGACCCTGAGTGAGCTCTGCGTGGTACTGGACCAATGCACTTGAGAGCAGAGGCAACGTGGAATGTTGTCGCAACAGCACGGGAAAGAAGTTCACCTTGTAAGACGCGAACGCTGCGCAGGATATTCGAGGTGTTCAGAATGTCATTCAAATTCATGCTCGACAGATACCCGTCGTCTTCTCATTCCAGTCAAGTTGGTGACTGTCGTCAAGCACCCATGCTCTTCCCAGTCTATGATCAAAACCAGCCCAAAGAAAATACATTAGAAATATGTCGGTAGCTTTTAGAGACATTTTGATCCTCTAGCCGTCTATATGTTTGAAAATACCTTCGCAACGGCACATCTCTCATGTGCCCTGCGTCATCTATCGCGCTCGCAGATTACTGATCATGATCAGAAGCTAAAGGCATAAACAACAGCAGCAAATGTCGCCGCGGCAGCCACAAGCATTGGCGGTCCTTGCCGCGTGCTACCGCTGTTGCCAGACTGGGGATTCACTCCCGTAGCGGTGAAGCCCAAGTACCAAGAGCCAATGTCGGTCAGCTTGCCATCGTTGTTGAGGAATGAAGCGTTAGCTCCAACATTGCTCGTCTTGGAACGAAATGCGCCAAAGTAAGTGTACCGCTCAATGTAGTCGATTTTGTCGAAGTAATCGGCAGTCTGGTTGTAGTACTCCTGGGTGGTAGCGAGATCCTGGTGGGCATAGGCATACTCCGTGACCCAGATCTTTGCGTCCGGGAAGCTGGGCTACTGTCAGCAAGTGCGGATGCCATTGTGATATCACATCAAAAGACTTACTTGGCTCTACGCTCGCCAATGTGACTAGCCAGGCCGGCGAAGTTGTCGTACCAGTGCACGGGAAGAAAGTCGTATGTGCAGTTTTTCTTGTCACCCGAGGTGCTAATCAGGTCGGAACAGTTACCCAGAAATTGTTTCAACCATGGCAGACCGGCGGGCTGGCCAGTGCAAGCAGGCAGGCCCAGCTTGACGCCCATCTCACCCAGAGGAACAAAGTTGGCGACCCAGGCTTTGGCAGCAATGGCGGGAGCAATGTCGCTGCCGCCGTACTGCGAGGGGCCATCGGGCTCGTTGAAGCCCAGAACATGGGTGATGTTCATGTTCTTGTCCTCAATCAGACTTTTTACAGCTTTGAGAAAGGTGGTGTCCTCTGGGTTGGAGGAAACACCCCACATCATGGGGACGAATTCGAATTCGGCCTGGGTTTTGGAAGAGAAGGCCGGGCTCGGGATCTCCTGGTAGTTGTAGTACCAGGTCAGATCGGAGCCGGCCTGAACCCAGACCTGGTTGTCTTGGGGCCAACTGGCATTGGGAGTGAAGACAAGACCGCGCTTCGAGGATTTGGTCTGGGCGGCCACGAGGGGCAACAGGGCCAGGAGGAATGTGGAGAGCATCGCGGGCGGAAGAAGTGGGTGAGACCGGGTTCCAGTCGGGTTTCCAGCTCCAGTCCAGCCGGTTCGGGTCGATTCGACGGCGGTCGGGGCAAATGCGACGACGTCGGTCACGGCGACCTGCGGGGGTCAATCCACGAATGTTCCGGCGTGTTTCGACACGACAGAAGCTGACGCTTTGGTTCGCGATGATGCAAAGGCAGCGAGGCAGATTGTCAGTTGCGGTCGGGTTATCGAAACGGATGGTTCGAAGGCGTCAATGGAAGGAGTGTGGTGGTTCGGAGCACTTGAATCTGGCGATAAAACGAGTGACAATGGATAAGGCCAGATGCTCAATGGAGCATAGTAGGTACGCAAAGGTGAGTCGAATACAGATAGAAAAAGATTGGAATCGCAGGACAGGAAGGCAAGCCGGGGGGAGGGAGGGAGAATAAGGAGGAAACAAAAAAAAAAGGTGTCTGATGAATGTCTTAATGTCTTTCACCGGTGCAGGGCGTCAGGCAAGGCAAGGTACGGAGTTTAGCGGCCCATCGCGTCGGATCTGGCTGGCGTTGGCGGCGTTGGCGTTGGTGCTGGCGTCGACGGTGAGCAGGATGGCGCTGGCGGTGCTCGGGATGGTGGTTTCGAGGGGCCCGGAATACTGCCAGGTCGAGGACGAATAATGCAGCAATTAGCGCCTCTCGATAAGGGAGCTGGAAGTCCTAGTCTCTAGGTAGAGCGATGCGGCACCGCCGTCCTTGCCGGTTTGGGCGGCGAGATGCTCAGCTCGCCTCTCCAGTGCCAATAAATCCCACTCTCCTGCAGCCTTTGTCCATTGGCCTTGGCAATGAGACCTGGACTCGTAGAGTGAGCGAGCGAGTGATGCGTTAATTCGTGGTGTCCTACCAAGGCCTGGGCATACAGCCTTGGCGAGGTCACCGTGGGTGATCAACGAGGCAAGGGACGAGGGGTGTGGTGGTGGTGTTCTGGTTCATGGTGAAGGAAGGTGGATGCTGTCCCGCTATTTCGTTTTCTTCTTTGTGCGTGTTTCCCTGTTTCCGCGATGAAAGAAACGGGAAAGATGGAAACGCGATTGTTCCTTCCCTTTCACGTCCACCTCCTCCCCTGCCCTGTGTGCCTGCCTTGTGGTGCCTGCGGTTCTTTCCCTCTTTCCCTTGCTGTGTGTGGTTCCTGCCTCCCGCGTGGAATACGACGCGGAAGGTGGGCCGGACGGTGGTCCCTGCGCGGGCGCCAGGCGCCACACAATCAAACACTCCACGAGTGTCGCCTGCCCGTGAAAGAATCAGCTTTTTTTGGGCCCAGACCCACCAGACCCTCAGCTTAAACTCGATTAAGCGTGGCCTTCCCTTGCCTTCCCGGATCCGGCCCCCGTAAGGTAGCCTGCGAAAACCTCCTTCCTGTCCCAATCACCAAGCTGCCTGCCACCTCTGCTCTGCTCTTTCTTCGCCAACAATCGCACTATTGACTGCCCTAGGAACACCCACTCAAAGGCACAGATACGTACCCCTGCCGTATTTTCCTCTTGCCACGCCGTCATCTGAATCTATCTGGTCGGCCTTCATCTTTCCCATCAATCATTCTGCCTTCGTGCCTGAAGGAGGTAGCAAAGGCATTGTCACTGCGTGCGGTCGTCCTCCACTTCCTCTCACACGCATGGCTTCTGCCTCCCTCAACGTGACGACGCATCAGAGAAGTCTCCCTTGCGTCAAAACGTCCCAGTCGATTTGCAACGGCTTTTCTTCAACGCCCACCATCAGAAAACCTGGTTCACGTGTCTGAAACTCGGCCAGCCTATCTGCCCTACCTGAGACCTCGCTGTTCTTATCGCTTTGCTCGTGAATTTCGCCGCCTCACCACACCTTAGTTATCTGAGCCATCAACTACGGTCCAAGTCTTGTCTGGTCAAACTACCTTCCAGATCGCAGGCATTTCCTCATCATGTCCCTCCTGACGTCTGATCAAGTCGACGGAAATAGTCATCGCCTCCTACAAAGCCTTTCTAAACTTCGTGGAACCATTGTTGTGTGTCGAGGCTCTATCCTTTTGTTGCTGCCAATGCCATGGCCTGAATGCCATCTCTACAACCCTTGTCGGCCGCCTCTCTATCATGATACATAAGGACGGTTTCTCAGGATTGACATCTGTGCATCCATCAAACATGCTTCTTCCCGTAAACTCACCATTCTGCTGCGTCTCGCAACCCCTACAAATCAGCATTGCTTCACTTAGCCATTGCAATATTACCGCCGCATCACCCTACCGCACCCTCGCAATCTCGTTCTCTCTGTCATGGCCCCAACGAGGCGTCCCACGATGAAGTCCAAGCCGCTAAGATTGCTTCTCCCTGAGGGTCACAGATATCTGGAACCTATATATATGGACAAGTCACACACATCGTACGCTTTCTTCACGGGCTACCCATGGACAAAATCTGTTGGTAACCGTCCATACAAGCACGACTACCCTGGCTCTGATCTACACGCTCTCGCATATCCGCATGCCAAGGATCCAAATCAAGCCGTCGACGAAGAGGATTCGAATCAACTCATCGATAAGTGGATTCTTGAACTTCTCTCCGATGAGGAGACTGCACAAGACTTGACCAAGATTTTGATGGCAGAGGCAGAAACGGCATGGGGGGATGCCAGCGCGTTGAAGAATTCGCTAAACATAAACATTCTTACCGGCCTTCTCGAACACGTCAACGCTGCTCAGCTAAAAGATATTGTCAATCGGTCTTGGCTCAAGTTGTTCGATCAGTGGTGGTCCTTTGCTTCTAATGCGTCAGATAGGCGCCAGACTGCATCATCTCCCACGACTCAGACTAAGGAAGGTGCCGCATCTTGGTTTGCATATTGGTTTGGCACGGGCTATCCTCTCCCCGAAGGCCGCGATATCGATGTCACCGAATGCTTTCGCAGGTCGCTTGACGACAGCGTATATCTGGAATCACTCTCAAGACCCGGCGATGGCAAGCGTTGGAATTCACTCTTTCATTTCCACGAGTACGCCGAGGAGCAGGTGGGAAAAGAATGGTTTGGTACACACAGAGTAAATATGCTCCCATTTCTCAACCAAGAGGACCTTTCGGACCCCCAAATTCTTCGGTCGCTCATTCTCAACCGCATCGCCAACCACCCCCGAGTCTTTGCTCGTGCAGACTGGGAAGGCTGTCACCTTGGAAGGGCTGGCAAGTTCTGTGTCCCGGCCTATCACGACAACTGGTTCATGGGCTTCCCACCAGAGGCTGAGCTACTGGAGATGAAACAGCCTCACGAGAGACGTGAGTACTTTCACGACTATGCTGTCGTCTTCAAGGGACCCACAGGCGAGGACACGAAAGATGGACTGTTCCCGCGGTTGAAGAAGGCTGGCCTCCTGTTTGGATGGGAAGAAGGCATCATGGTCCTCGCAATACAGGCCGTGACGCTGCGCTTCGTCAAAGTCGTAGCCGAGGACTTGTCGGCTTTTGTTGATGGCTTGCGAAGCCGGGGCGAAGATCTCAACGGTCAACCGGTGTCCAAACATCTTCCCATTTGCAAGGCCCATACTTGGGAAACAATTCCGACGGAACTTCTGAGATTCGATGCCGTCGGCAAGGGGCTGGTTACCAGCGGCCAGTTTTTCCCGCCCTCTGTTACTGCGTCAAGCTGGGGTGTCGAATTCAAGTCCCGCTTGGAGAAGCGAGTGGCTTTCGCAAAGGAACAACTGCGAGAGTTGTGTCATGATCCGGCCGTTTTCCGACGCAGCATTCAGAATCAATACGATCAACACTATGGTCACATCACGGATTCTTCAGACAATGGGAACGATGAATATCGCATTTTGCCGCATATCACGAACACAGATATTGACGCGAAGAAGGCATTGGTCAACGATCTCATCCGACGAGTTGTCAGGCGAGCCGTATTCGAAGTTGAAATGTGGCAATGCCTGCTTGACAAATTAATAAGACTGCGCGAGCTTGCCGAGGACGAGAACATCAACCTGGACGACAGGATCGAGCAACTGGACGTGCAGGGGCCCGTCATGGACGCCTGGGTTGATCTGGGATTCCATGCGCGCTGGATCGCCGCACTACATGTCAGACATCTGTTCGATCACGGCGGTCTGCTCGCGACTCACTCCATCAGGGATTACTTCCGCCGTACTCAAACGTGGGATCAGCTAAGACCCGAAGCTCCATCAGATCAGTGGATACTCCCGAGGGAAGGCCGTATCAAAATGGACTTCTCTGCGGTGGCTGGCTACAAGAAACCGTTGAACGTTGAGGGATGGGAGGATGTCAGACTTGCAACCGATGCGGTTCACAGAGGCCTCTCGTCCTTTTACTCCATAGGCCGGATCGGATTGCCCAAGATAATCCAGAAAATGCATTCTGATCGGCGTCGCCACGCCCTTCTCGGAGTTCAGCCGATGGTCAGCGAGGACTACACGGCAATCTTTGAGGCTGGCTTGCTGAGTCAGAGAATGGAAGCCATGCAGCCTTTCGGGGGCGACCTTTCCACCGACGATATGACAGATCTAAGGGAGAAAAGTCCTATCTGGCAGTTCTTGAAAGAGTACGACCACTTTCCCTTCGAGAGGCATATCGATCAAGAGACGCTGAGATTGGTTCACTGGTTTCTTGGGGTGACATACTACCATCCAAGCTTGCCCGAGTCGCAGAGCAGACCCTTTGGGTTGGTTCAGAAATGGTTAGACGGCTTCTGGACCGAGATTGCCACATGGCTGGAATCTGGAAACGTTTGGCGTCCGCAGAAGACCTCGGTCAACATCTTGAGCCAGGCTTTTAACGAACTGCAGATATCGGTCGGTATCAAAGACATCGACGAAGACTTCCGAATGCAGAACGATGTTTTCGACGTTGAGGGGAAAATAGAGGACGAGCCAATGGTCGACTACTCCGAGGTACTGCACATTGACGCTTCGGCACTGACAGCACCAATAGTAAACTATGGCGAGGTCAAGATCATCAGTGAGGACGACTTCCCAGGCTCCAAACTATTAGACATTACCGGCTACGTATATGAATGTGGTGAGAAGATAATAGCAAGAACCACTTTTCCGCAACCGCAGAAGGAAAAGGAAAGGGGAAAGAGGCCGGCTCGAAAGAAAAAGAGAACCAATGCTCAGGGCAAGGTCACCAAGGCGACCGCTCGGCACTCCTCTCATCCATCCACATTCTTCAAAGCCTGGAAAGCATTCGACAAGGGGGGTATCCGCTTTCAGGAAGGCACATTTAATGTCACAAAGATTTGCGGCAAGATCACCAACCTCCGGCCTGCCAACTACGAAGAACCCCCCACCGAGTTCGTGATGCCTACTCGCAACGGCATGATACGCAAAGAAGAGCTCAAGAAGGTGACCATGGAACTTGCAAAGTGCCAGCGAGGCGATGACTACAAGAGGCACCTCAATGATCTGATGGCAGCCGACCCCCTTCGAGGCACGAACAAGATCAGGAAGAAAGAGTGGAGGACCATGGAAATCATCTATGGGGATCATAGCACCAAACGAAAGATCACGTACAAAAATGTCGAAGATCTATTCGTTCGCCTGGGATTCGAATTCGGAGATGGAAGTGGGAGCCGGGAGAAACTTCAATGGACCGAAAATTCTCACATCCCGAGAGAGAAGCTGAATAATATGGATTCTCAAGTCCACCCATTGCACAGGAAGGCCGACACTTTGAATGAAAGCTTCATCAGCAGCCTCAAGAAACTCTTAGAAGACTGGTTCGGTATCTCTCAAAAAACAATCGAAACGTATTACCAACGAGCGGGCCCGGAGTATGAACTGGTTTCAGACTCGAGGACTGGTAAGAACGGCAAGGACGACAAGGACGGTCAGAACGGCAAGGACGACAAGGACGACGAGGACGACAAGAACGACAAGGACGGCCAGGATGATCAGCAATTGGGGCAGGAGTGAACTTGGGGGCGAGGAATCGGACAAGGAGCATTATGGGGGCGTGAGACCGTGTAGACGAATGACTTGAATCTAGCTAGACTTTGTCTGATTTTCAGCGGAGGCGTGTTCTCACTGTTGTCTATATCTCCCCGCAAATGGCATCACTAATCTCCCATGCGCTGTCCGTCAACCTTTTGCAAGACATCAGGCCTGTCTCTCTGCTTGGCTAGGCACCGCTTCAGTAGCCTGGCCCTGTCTATAGACACTCTCGGAAACCTCAACTAGGTCGTTGTCAGACACGATGTGTTGTAGCCGGCGGTCGAATTCTGCTCGCTCGGCCTTGATTCTCAGTAGCATAAACGTGAAGAGGCCGATGAAGGCGACGGTCATAACAATGTACATGGTAAGAAGTAGGATGGTTATACCATCGAACGCCATCTTGAAGGTTAGTCTTGTGCTTTCGGTGGAGGTTGAGAGGTGTGTATGCTGAAGATGTGTCAGCGTCGACGTTGCATGAGGATCCTAGTTGAAGGTGCAGAGTACTCAACTTTCATGTCTGCTGATGACCGTCGTTATATAATAACCCTTTGCCCGGTTCCGCAAATTGCCTCGGGGCCATGGTCGTGATTCAGCGGCCGGCGGCAGTGCGACAAACTTCACTGTCGCGGCGGAGGCAGTCATCACGATCCGCTAGTACATGCATCGTCGACAAAGTTGAAATTCACTTGAAAAGGGGCGAGATGTAAAGATATCAATCGATTATGATTATCAGGAGACTATCCCATATGTGACAAGACCAGAAACCCAATTCCCAAGCCGGTAAAAGCAAAAGCGAAGGGTATAATGCTATGTGCAGCCCACCAGATGTTGTAGCCCCGTATCCCATGTCCCGAAACCGCCGATCCGTACCGTGCCGTACCTGTACCTATGTCCGTGTTCCTGTACCTGTACCTGTACCTGAGGGGAGACCTTCCCCTCTTACATGACCCTATCCAGAGGTTACCCCGATTCTATCACCGGTCCCCGAAACACGCCGGCGGTGTGCTCACCAGAGCATCCGCTTGAAAAACACAAAATAATCAAAAGCCAAGATGAATGCAAGATTGGTATGAAATGTATCGAGAAAGAAGGAGAGAGCGAATGGTGCAGAGAAGATCGTTGTATGGGGGTTATGTGGTGCGATGGTCGAGGGGTTTAAGTGAGTGACGCGATGTAGTTAGCGATGATAGTTGCGCAGTTATGAGATTGCCGAAGGGTAGTGTCGATAAGCGATGTAGGGTTTCACGAAATGCCGTGGGTATGCCGATAATGGTACGACTACGGGGCCGCGAGAGCTAGGAAGGTGGTAATGTTGGAGAGCGAGTCGATTTGAGTTGGCGTCTAAGGTGGTAACGAGTGATTGTGTAGGGTAAAGATTCGCGCCATGCAGCCAAGTCTATCACCGAATGGTCCGGGTTTAAAACGCCAGTGTATCCCTCTATTGACGAAGAAAGCAGCTCGCCGGCTGTGGTAAGTTCTGAAACGAGGATGGGCGGACGTGGAGGGCAGAGAGGTTGGTTGGTGTGGGAAGTAGGTGCCAAGAAAGACGAGCCATCATCATACGCGTCGTCGAGAGTGTCCTTGTCGGGAGGTGCATCAGCTCGCGCCCCGGTAGTGTCGATCTCGAGGTCGAGAGCGTCGCTCAAGCATGGAGCTGGAGTTGGAGATGGAGGGTCGGAACAGCTGCGCCAGAATAAAGTGAGCCGCGCCACCCGCGTTCGTAAAGCAACAACATGCCAAGGTAGATTCTTCTCAGTTGATGGGTGTGGTTGTTTGCTCCGACCTACGTTATTCACTGTTCGGCGGCCTGGCGCTTCGTGTTGACCCCGCGACGAGATCGTTCTCGACCTGCAACCGACTTGAAGATGGGTGTCAACATAAAGCTCAACACCTCATGTGAATGGTCCGGGTGAGCCCTTGGGTCCATCGACAAGCATACGGGTACGCCAATGCACGGCCGAAAAGGCATGGCGGGAAGGCAAGCGAGTGGTCGGAAACAAGTTGACTTGGGGGTGCTCTCAGGCGACACACGGCGTAGAACGGGAGTTATCTGGTGCTAGAGGCAGGCGGCTTTGGCGCGGTGTCGGTTTGAAAGGTCCTTGACGCAGATGATGTACGTCATGCAGGCCGGACGGATGCAGGCTACCCCTCCAAGAGACGATCACCAGATACACCCCCAACCCATCATGCACGAATACTGCAGCCAATCAGAAGCTGTATCGCGGGCTTGGGATCGAATGCGCGTTATCGAGGTGCAGATGAAGGTGGTCGGTCGCGATAAGCCCAGTCGAGGTGTCACGCAGAGTGATGGAGAATCCAGTCCAGAGCGTGTGTGGTTGAAGATGGCGGTGAGTATGTTCCGGGGGGGTTGAAGTCGATGCGAGAAGCTGCAGACGCAAACCGTCAACCTTGGAGAGACCCCGCCTCCCCAAACTAAAGTTTTCGTGCAGACGACAGAGATGGGATATGGAAGGCGAAGAGGGATGCTGCGTCGGAGAAAGTGGCATCTCCCATGTCCACAAGGCCGCCGTTCATGTTCGGGGGAGTGGGGCTGGCACATCGGCCGGCCAAAGCGGGGCGTTGACCGTCTATTTCGGGAAAGGTGGACGCCGTTCGGGAGAGTCGATTGGTCTGCGCCACAACACCTGACAGCCCCTCGGGACCCACCCATCCACACCGAAAACACAGGACGACACCGGAGGGGAGATCGGGGTGGAACCCGTGGACCCCCTACCCCCTACCGCAGTGTCCCACCACCACACCCTCATTGTCTTTGGCCGCAGTGTAACTCGTTTCTGTTCCTCTCGTTGCGTTGCAGCCCATGCCGTCCAGGGTGCCAAATGCCCTCCCAATCAAGTCGACGACGTACGACTTCGCTCCAACGACGTCTCTCGAGACCTCCTCTTCCATCTGAGCTTCTTGTCCGTCCTCCTCTTGTCCCCTTGCCTCGTCCACGCGCGGCTACCATCCAGTCTTGATGCCACACCCCAGTAGCAGTAATAGTGACTCACTCCCAAGAACCCTGGCGGGATCCTCTCATACCAGGCTATCACGCTTGCGCCTCAGGAGACACGAGGCAGAAGCACGCCACCTCTCTCGTCTCTAGAGCTGTCGCTCACTTGGTCCACGGCAATGCCCTCTCCTCCCGACCATGGGCCTCGCGGCTTCATGCCCGTTGCGCCCCGTCCCCGTACCCGACACCACCATAGACTTGATGGCTTGGGGCATGGTGCGAAGTCATGGACTGGTACTGCTCCGCGTACGTCGTGGGAGCGTGCATGGCAGGTATCGCAGTGTCCCATCGGCCGGGAGCTGGTGGAGGCGTGTGCTGGTTTCCAATCGGGGTATGCAGGCCGCTGCCGTATGAGCCAGCAGTCATCGATCGGCTATCATAGCCGGTGACAGCTGGGAGAGGTGCCGCCAAACGTAGACCGGACTGACGCGGGGAGACGGCTGTAAGCGCAGGCGACAGTGTCCGCGGCGGTCCTGTTGAGTAAGTCGGCCAACTGTGGGTGCTGCCTGTGATCGAGCGCGGTGATGTCAAAGCCTCATGGTGCACCTGCGATGGAACACCATAAGCGCTGATATGGTCCGATGCAACTGTTGGAGCTGGCGGGGTCGGCAGCGGCGGATAAGCACTGACGGGAGTAGGTGTCAACAGGTGAGATGCGGGAAGCGTCGATGACGGACTGGCGCTGTATTTGCCAATGATCTTCTTGAGAGCCGACTCCAGAATCTTCCAAGGGAACACCTTCACATCCTTCTCGATGTTTCTCGGCTTCGGGTTCGGGAAAGCCATGATGATCTTGAAGAACTCCTCCGAGTCCGCCTTGGCCTTGCTGACCGTCAAGGGGCGGAAACCTTCCAAGTTACGACGAATGCGGTTCTTCTCCTCGACAGTGAATCTTGCTGGAGCCACGACCAGCTGCTCAAGCAGATAGATGGTGTCGACGGATGTGACGTAGCATTCGTTCTTCTCGGCCCACCAAATGCAGCTGATGCAAATGCTGTTGGGCGGCCGTTCATTGACATTGACGGCCCTGAAGCTCGCCGTTAGTGTCGAGCCCGACTGCTTCTTGCTGAACATAACGATACGTCTCCGGTTGGACCATTCCTCTGGAGACCAATCCACGGCCATGCTGTCGAGCTTTCCCATGATTTTCAACACAGCCTTGTTGGAGTACGAGCCCCAGTGGCTATATCCTGATCCCTGTCCTCCACCGGGGGAGCTGGGAATAGAGCTGGTTCGCACGAGCTGGGGGGTCGTAGCGGAAGGCATGGGAAGGGGAGTCAAGCTAGGGCGCGAAATCTGTGTGTGCGTAATGGGTGGACCCGGTGTTCGGCCGTACGCCTGCCAGCCGGCCATCGGTGGTCGCAATGGCGGCGGCACGGCGCGCGGATAATGCTGATCCGTGAAGGAGTTGGTACGGTATGCGCTGAGCATGTTGGTGTTGTTGCTGTCTTGCGGAAAGTTGCTTCCATAGGGAGACTGCGTGGGCTGTTGCGGAGCTGTCGCGAAGTCGTAGGTATTTGTAGCGGACTCGTTGCCTAGCTGTGTGCTTGCTGACCTGGGTGACTGATGTTGTTGCTCAGGTGACTTGGAGACCTTCCTCGTGATGACTTCTGAGCTAGCACCTGGACCTCCAAGGGGTGCTTCGTGATATACAAACTGGCCCACCGGCGCACTCTGGAAGTGCTCATGGTTTTCCGTCTCAATCACCAGCGAGACTGGCACGTTCTCGTTGGGGCAGCCGGTGATCACAAAAGGCGGCGCATCCGCCGAGACAGTCAACAAGCTGCCGTTGTCTTGAGGGTCCTGAATGGGATCTGCTGGGACCTTCTTCGTTCCGAAAACGAGAAAGTAGTAAGGTGCCATCGCAAGCAGATCATACGCCGAAGAGACCTTTACCAGCACTTTCGTGCCGGCGCCACCAGTGGAAGGCTGAAATGAGGCCACAGACAAGTCGACACTGCCGACTCCCATGTATGGTGCAACCGCATTGTTGGCTGCGAATGCTCCTTGGTTCATCTGAGCCGCTGTGAGTTGAGCCGCGCCGCCATGCTGGGCGGGATAGTTTTGCGCGCCATACGGCTGGTAGGCCGCCTCCTCATATCCGCGAGCTGAGTCGTACCCTGCGAACATCACATCATGTCAGCTAAGTTGCACTATTTCGATGGCCAGCTCCGCCGACACAATCGTTCCTCCAGATCAACTCAGGAGGATTGATGCAGCTCACTGGCTTGAAGAAAACGTACCGTGGATTGGGCCTGGCTGGTGCTTCCCGTAGTGCGACATGGGGAGGAGACCACCTGGCGGGGAATCACCCCGAAGGTCTCCGTTTGCCCTCGCAACCGCCTCTTCGTACTTGAGGGTCACCGTCTCGGGTGAGTCGAGGCCT